CCTCCCTTCCCTCCCTCCCTCACCACCACCTCCTCCCCAAACTTCCCCCAAATGTCACCACGACTCTTTTTTCTCTTACTGGGTATGATAAAAAAGAAAAGACAACGAGTTTTAATTTACTAAAAGGCAAGATAATATTCTTCTCATCCACCGAACCAAACGCAGTCTTGAGCGCAGCCACCGGAGAGAGAGAGAGAGAGAGAGCGAGAGAGCGAGAGCGAAACCACACACACGCACGCGTCTCAAAACGTGTAGCTTCGGTCTCGTGTTTTGATTTGCACAGTCTGTTGTCATCTGTCGTCGTCGTGCGAGTAGTTCCGCCCTGTGCCAAGCTGAATGTAATGGTAGCGAGATTCGAAAAAAATGAAAATAAGATCCTACCAAGAGAAATAGCTTGACCCTAGAGGCTAACCTCTGTACATTTCATCATTACTGGTATCGGTTGTTAACCACACTTTTCTCTGGCTAGATTTTACATGCTTCTTTAAGGTAAAAAAACAAAAAAAAAATCAACCAAAAAAATAACTGTGCGGTTTTTGAATTGACTAGATGGCGTCGAGCACTACTGTTCTGTCCGGTTCTTGTTGTACAGATGTAAAATTGGCACTACTGCACAAGCCTCCCTGGAGAGAGAACTGGACGATCGTCTGGGAACGGCTGAAAAGAAGGAATTTAAAAAAATATGTAAAACAATGATAATAAAAAAAAAATCCCAAAAAAATAAAAGATCCAAGACGTGCGACAGTGTACTGTAGATGTATTTAACTAAACACCTGTGGAGGCCAACTGTTTTTATCATTAAGTTAAAATGAATACCTATACTCACTCTTGGTGGCTTCATGAGAAGGATGTAAAGAATGTAGAAGAAGAAAGAGGAGAATGATCCCGTTAACTGAAACCTCCACCTCTTAGGACGGCCCTATGCTAGGTAGCTAGATGTACTGTTTTTACTGCTGCGTATTTATATCTCTGCACATCGGAGCACATAGACTGCAGGCGTATAGGCCGAGATAGCACAACGCTCGTCCTGTCCTCGCTGGGTCGCTGTCACTCACTCATCTCCCGTCACTCTTAATATTCAGGACGTTACTTTTTTTATCAGTTTAAAACGTGACCTATCAGGACCTGTTAGACACCTGCCGTATCATGATGTCTTCTCAAGGGTGCCTCACATTTCTTTTTTTTTTTTTTTGTGTGTCTCTTCCCTCTCCACAAAAGACGCGTGCGATTAAAATAAAAAACCGTGTTGTTCCTTCACAGACGGTGGACCTGTAAACTGTACGTGGCCCTTCTGGTTGTAAATTTGCAGAAAGAACCGTGTGTCGCTGGGTTTAATGTTCTGTTTCTTTTCATTGTTCATAGACCGCGTAGATGCATATTTGAAGGGGAGCGGCGAGGGGGGGGGCGTGTCAGTCAGTCAGTCAGTCGATGGGACAGACCCGTGCCGCTGATCAGCCAGTCAGGAGAGCGGGGTCTGAAATTGCACAACAACTTTCTGTCATAATCTGGAGGAAGGGTTTATTTAACTAAATCTAGTGTGTCAGGGGTGTAGGATTTATTTAGTGTTCTGTCGTCTTTGTCGTGTTTTATTTTTAGTGTTCTAAATATTTTTGTTTTAATTTCCAACACAGATTCTTCTTCTTTTCTTTTTTTTTCTCTTCTGAACCTTGTGAAGCCCCCAGTGCATTGTAAACCCCCACCCCCCCACTCCCTCCCCCCCTCCCCAGCATGAGAACACTAACATCTTGTGCAAGTGCAATATACTGTTGAATACACTGTATATCAGTCCGACCGGCGGGTGTGGTCAGGGTGCGGTCAGAGGGGGTGATCCCGCCCCTCTTCTCTGCAGATGAAACAGCATTTTTCTGCCAATATTCAACGATAAATGATAAATTCATTCTGGGCAACAAACTCTCTGTAAGATGATGTCATAAACATTGACTGCCCAGTGTTTTATTATGTATTTAAATTAAGATCATGACTTTGTAAACAAGCTAATTATTGGAAAAGGACTTTTTTTTTTAACTAACGGAACAAATCCAGCTGGAAAAGGGGGAACGGGGGGGTTGGTCTTTCTCTAGTGAGACGTCCAACTGAAACCTGTCGTCTCGTAGCAGGAGAGTTGGGTTTGATAGCACTTCTTCACGATATCTGCACTCAGAGAAACACTCCACATTGACTGTATTTGTCTGGTATGCAAAGTCCTGCAAGTGAAAAACTTTGTCGACCGCAGATAATTAATAAATCAGTGATGATGACTTTGTACAAGCTGCCAGGAGGAGGAGCTCCCATGTGACAGGACAGTGTTTGTTGTCTATCCAGATGCTTTTATTCCCTCTGTGTAAATCTGTTAGATTTAGTAAAGCAGCAGCAGCATGGACCTCAAAATGTTTTGACCTCTCACCGAAACTTGGTATGAAATGTGCGGGGGTGGGGATTCCTAAATAAAAGCAGCAGAGAATATTTGTGGTGTGTTCCTAAATTAAATTGAATTTTGCATTGATTCTAAATTTAAAAAAAAAAAACAAAGGTGTATCCGATTCTCTTTTTCTTTCTTTTTTTTATTACTGTGTAATAGTTGGTGAATTTTTAAAGGACAGTTTTGAGGATCCATCAGTGGACAAGGTACTGGATCATTCCTGGAGAACTGGGGCACAAAAAGCAGGGCTCTGATAAGGACGGAGATGGGAAGTTAATGAGATCACAGTTTTGGATTGACTGCATGATGTAAATGTATGTGTGATTAAATAATTATGACAAAACTCTTCCACTCGTGTCCTTTTTGTGCTCAGTCTAGATTTTTTTAATTGTTTTGTGAGAATGAAGCAAACAAATAGTCATTTAATGCTGGTTTGTTTTTCATTTTGATTTTTGATAGATTGATAAAAATAGGTCGATAGAAATTCTTGTTGCTCTTGAACATACTGAAGGACTATGATAACTTTACTACATAAAACTTTAATACTACGAAATTAACAAACCCCTGGAAAGCTATAAACTCAACTTTACGATGTTTTCTAAGCATCGGCCAGTCACGTCTTTACTACACTGATGTCAACTCTGTGGGCACAACTTGTTTATCTTGTAGTAACTTGTGTGCACAAGATAAAGACACATCTTTTACTTCAGTGGCTCCGAAGAGATGAGAATAAAAGTAGTAAAACAAAAAGAGGAACAGTAAAATAAAAATAAAGACAACAATGCTAAATAAGTCAAGAGCATAACATTGATCAGTAATCTGATAAAATGTGTATCTACAATAGAAATAGATGCAATAATAAAATATTAATATTTATTTCAAATCCATGTTGAAAATTAAACACAAATTGTTTGAACATTTATTTTATCGATTTATTTTTTGTGCTATTTTAGCGCAGCTGCTTCTCCGCTTCGTTACAACCAGGGGGCGCTGTTTCCCAGTTTGCGTCGCGAACACCTGCGGGCTCGGGCCATAGAGAAGTCGAAGTCAGACAGGAGGACTCACTCTGACAGTTCTTGCGCTCATACGAAACACTTGCCGCTTTCGGGATGAGAGTTTCTCCAAGTGGGTGGAAAAAAAAAACCTCGAGAGTGATCCATCGGTGTCGATAGACGATCTCTGTGCTCGAAGGTAGTTGCTGAAGTTGCGGGAGCGAGGAGCGAGGTGACGGGAGCGAGCAGCGGCGCGAGCGGATCACTACACCGGCCCGAGGAGCAGGAGGCACCGGAGCACCGGAGCACCGAGCCCCGCCGACTCACACTCCAACTCACCCCAGGAGAGGGTGGAACTCGGTGGAGCCTCCGCGAGGAAGTTACCGGGGAGTTTAACCGGCGCGGCGGGGCTTCCTCCCCCCCTCCCCCGGCGGAGCGGCTCACTCCCGGAGAGAAGGTGGGTGAAGGTGCGGCGCTGCCCGGACACTCAGGAATGTTGTAGCCGCGCGGCTAATTAGCTCGCTAGCGTTAGCCCCGACACGAAGTTCACGTTGAGACGAAGAAAGTAAAAACGAGTTTAAAGGTGAGAGTAAAGAGTTTTTTTTACAGCTTCTCCGGGAGTTCCTCTGACAGTGGCCGATAGAGTTTCAGAGGAACCGGGGATTTGGAGCGACTCTGTCGGGAACGAGACCCGGTGTCGAAGCCCGGAGCTGAGCTCGAACCTGACAGATGTGTTTGTACCTGGAAGACAATCACGTGGTGCTGTGGTCATTTCACCAGCTGCACGCTGTGGACTCCAGTATATCGAAATGAACCTTTTCACATCGCGATGCATCTGATCGATTACTCGCACTCGTGTATCACCGATATATCGGTTTTATACATATTGGACCTTTGTGACACTGCTGCTGATGTGAGTACATTTTGTGGTAAGTGTTGATATCGTGTCTCTGCTCCACTGTCAGCAGCAGCATGAAGCTGTCACCGTGCAGCTGTCCTGCAGTTTGACAACTGTCAGAATGGATTTCAGATTCTCGATCTGTGCAGACGTGTCCATCAGTCGAACACTCACCTGCCTTCCAACAACGACGACCACAAAGTTTTATAACAAATGATTTGACTCTCGCTGTCATGACCAAACTTTTGCATTGATCAAATCACAAGTTAGTTGACAGAATTGTAATCGGCAGCTAAATTTGAAATGTGATTAATTTGGATTATTTGATTATTGTGTTTTTTCTGTGGTTGTTTTATGTTTTGGGACATTTTAAAAACTGGTGATGTAATTGAAAGAAAAAATATTATGTTAAATCCTAATTGCATCTCAGAGTATTTGAACACGATGAATCACATCTCAAAAACTTTCCCCCACATTTGTCAAACAACTTGAGTTTGTGTGGAGACGAATTCACTTCATTATAGGTGTTGATATACTGAATTGTCCACGGCCTCCTCTCAGTCCTGCGGTCTGTGACCCACCTGTCTCTAAACATGTTTTTATCCACGTTGCGTGCTCCCATTCCTCGCATGAAACCCACTTTAAATGAGCTGCGGCTGTGGTTTGTCGAAGTGTGACACACTGCGGTTGTGACTGTGGCAGAGGACCATGGGGAGTTGAGTTTCGAGGGAAGTTGTGGTGAGAGGCGTCTAACTGGGACAGGCTGTGCTGAATCCAAGCTGTTCAGGGCAACGCGGGCCTATATTTGGTGTGTCTGCAAGTGAAGGTCGCAGAGCACAACTCCACCGCTTCTGCTCGAGTCCTCTTTATATACAGTCTATGCTCGAGTCCAATATTCACTCTGATCCAGCTCCTCCAACTCCTGATGGAGATATACAGCATGTCCCTGTTTACCTTCTAGTTTCCACCTTCTTCCCCAGGTAGTTACTATACTCAGCATGTCTGTCTGCCTGCTGAGCAGTAAGAGTCCAGTGGGTTTTACGTATAAAAGCTGCCTGTTGTGGCACCGAGTGCCGAGAATGAACCAAAAACTGTAAATAAAGATGGACGACGTGTCTTTGCTCAAGAAACAGAAACACTTGAACATCAGTGTCGTGAGAACCACCTGAAATGACATTTAACCATATTTGAGAACAATTTATTCAATGTGTACTTTGACTCTTGATTTGGCCCACGCCCCATCCACTAACACGGAGGAGGCAGGTTTATATACTGCAGCCAGGCTCCAGGGGATGTTTGGGCTTCACTTTCGGGGAGTTGTCACGTCGTCCATCTTCATCCACGGTCTTTGGAGTCACTCAAAAAGTAAAGATGTGTCTCGGCGGCTAAACAAATGACAGGAAGTCGCTCTAAAGCCTCAGGATCATCACGATGAGGGATCACGCTGTCGTTTGTTTTCACCTTGTTCACTTTGAAAGTCAACACGTCTTTCCAGGGACAAGCTGTTGACAGGGAAGTTTGTGAATTAAAAAAACCTCATCATAGTTGTGCTCATTGGAAGTAATCAGTGGCTGCCCACCCCGGACAGAAACATTCTGCCTAACAGGAGTCATGTGAGACCCGATGCAGAGTTGAGACTCATGTTGTCCATGTCAACACTTCACGTATTTACAATAAGAAAATCCAAGCTGCTGCTTTCTGTTTTGCTGAGGCACGAAAAAATTGGAGGGTGTGTTTCCTACATGTGCTGACAACGACAGATTGTTCAGCCCAGATGAACTCAAACAGTCGTGGAGACATTTTCTTTTGCCTCCTCCAAAACATCAACCAAGGCCCCGTCTTCATGTCCTGTTGCTCTGGGATGGTTTTTATTCCTCCGGCCAACTCATCCACCCCTCAAGCCCTCCAGTAAATCTTATTACCATCACATTAGATTAAGGTGCTTCCTCTTATTTTGCTGATTGGACTCAGAGAAGATTTGTGCAGTCTGCTAAATAGCGGTGCTGATGCTGGCACTTAATCTAGACAGGGATAAGTGAAACAGACAACAGCCCCCAGGTACTTACTCTTCTAAATCCCTTTCAGTATGAAGAATAAGAGTCCTCCACAAGTCTTAATACTGTATGTGTGTTATCTGAAGACTTGCTGAGCTTAAGTGATGTGGGCAGTGACATATTCAGAGCAGAGTTTTTCATTTAGATCATATTAGTGTCAGGAAATGATTTGGACGGAGACATTTGGGTGTTTTTTGTTGAGAAGGATGGATTAACTGGATTTTTAAAAAAAGGTTCACACGATTAAAATGAATAATGAACAGTAATAAAGTTCACAAAAATAATTAAAATTATGAACAAGGCTCATTATTCTGTAAAACGTGACTAGAGGAGCTGCAGGTAATTAATAGAAAAATAACAAGTTATTATTTTGATAATCAAAAGATAAAAAAAGGAAATGAGTGACTCATAATATAATTATCAAAGAGAGAAGAGATGTAGTTGAGGCTTGAGTCTAACCATAGACTTTAGTTGTAAATATCTATGAATAAAAAAAACACAAATACAAATGAAATGAAATATGAACTTTAAAAAAAAAAAAAAGAAAAGTTTAAACATAAATAAAACATTAATGAACATATTTTTGTTCTGCTTTCTGATATTGTATTCACTGAACAGTTCCTCTTTTATTTGAGAAGAGAGCTGGCAGGTTAATTGAAAGTAAAAACATTCATTAGCTGCAGCTCGGCAGGTTTGTTGTCTGTTGTTCCCTGGAGTCCACATGTCTTCAGCACAAGGATTAGATCGAAATAGAAAAAAAAAGGAACAGTCTTCCTCCTGTCAGGGCAGCCAGCTGAATTAGGAGGTCACAGGTTAATGAAGAAGGCTGCCAGCTCCTGTCATGATACACCCATCACCCAGTCTAATGCTCCATTAGTCCGCTCTGCTCTGGGTATTTTCACTGTGAGCTGTGAATTAGTATCTGAGCCTGTGTGGTGTTTCATTTGGTTAATGGATGGCATGAGCAGCTAGTAGATTTGGTGAGAGAGGTAATCCACAGTGTTGTTATTATCCCTCTGGTCACTGTATCAGGACTAATCCAGGTGCTGTGAACGTCTCACCTAATGATAGATATGTATGATGCTAACGCTCCACTGAAAGTGAAAGAGGTGCAAATGTTAGTGTAAAAAAAAAAAAAAGTATTTTCGGTTCATTATGAAACTGTGGTGGGAGATATTGAACTGTGGCGAGCTGCCACGGTCGAGATAATTAATGAGATGCGCTGCAGAGACGCCACAGAAGTGTTGCATAACAGCTGCCTCACCCAGGTTTACAGTTCAGCAATCACTTTACGGTTACAGCTCCGAAAACATGACTGATTAATCATGTGGTAATAAGACGACGTAACTCATGTTGCCTTATGTGTGTTTGTGTAATGATGATACTTCCCATGTTTCTGTAATTGTGGATTCTTGCAAAATATAATTTTTGGTGGATGTGACACATTTGACCTTTCTGTCAAAAAAATAGTAGATTCTGTGATTTGTATATTAGATCTTGTGTAACCGTTCAACAGTTCATGGATCCATCAGGATTGACGTTCTGTGATTGGTTGGTGCCCAATTAGCAGCGATGAAGCTTGAAGAGTGAAACGGAGATGTGACTCTGGTGAAAGACGTCATCGTGTGTCTTTCTTAGTAGAGCTCATACCTCCACCGAGGCCCAACAGTCCCCTCGTGAACCCACTTTTAAATCCGCTAAATCCAGATTTGTCTCGTTATCTGTCCCCTAAAGATCCATGACTCATTCCCAGGGGAATCTGTGAAACTGTAAAGGCAGGACGGTCCCCTTGTGAAAACAGAATTCACTAACTCCGGATTTTTTTAATTTGCATCAAATTTCATACACGTCCCCTAGAACAGGATAAATTATTTCATGAGAAATCAATGTTGACAATCTGTGAATGTGAAAGAAAATCAAACTTGATTTTGAACATTTCACTGAACGTGACTCACGGATGACTTTGAGGAGTCGCTGTTGTGTCTGTGTGATCCACTGTGTAATATCCTGCTCTAACTGCTACAGACATTGTAATATCCTTCCACTTCATAAAGAGCAGCAGCTCAGACTGAACCGCTGTCTATAAAACCACTGTCTGGACTCTTGCCCTGCCGGGGTTTGAAGTTCATAGAAGCTCATTTTCTTTTGTTTTGGATGTCTGGGGAAATAAGATGAACTACAATATGAGATAATCTTTACAAGGCGGGGGGCTTTATTTTCGTCTCGTTTTATTAGACATCGTTGTTCCCAGTAATCATTTAGGATGTTTGAGGTGAACTCAGCATTTGTTATTATAAGTGTTTTAATTATCTTCTAATCAGTTCTCTGTTGACTGATAAATCTGTTAATTGGACACTAAAGATCTTAATTTAAAATGTCTATAACTACCAAACCTCCTGTCCATTCTCCGTTCAACTGGGGGAAATTAGTGGGATAAATATTGTTCGTAGTTATGAGTTTGCTGATTTACTCTCTGCACTGTTTCTTGCTGGTGTGTGTGGCATGTTTACTTGCTTACAGTGTATATTTAATGCTTTCGGATTATCGCTTGAAATGGAGAAGAAACATGGACCATTACATTTTTTGCATGAGTTACTTTATCTCCAACAACATGTCAAGCTTTGAATATACAATAATATAAATATGAATACAAATTCAAAGTGGTTTTTAGTAATTGTACAAATAGGAAATATATTATCTTCTTCCTGGTTGTGGTTTCTTGTCCTACATTTTTCAGGTGTCTTTTTGTTTGACGTTTCATAAACCTCAGTTTCAGACAAAATACAAAACTAAGACATGAACTTTTACACTTTTTGGAACATGAAACATTTATTTTCCTTCTACTATTGCTGCTGCTCACAACTTAGCTTCCAGCTAACACCGGTAGCACTGCAGCCCCATCTCTTTCTATCAAATCAGCTTGTGCACAGAGGTAAAGCCTGAGGCTCGGTATGACAACACCTCATCACCTCACATTCCTGCCCAACGGCAAAACTCACACTAAAACATTTCTTTACTTTAGCCTCTGTTTTTTGTCTCTATTTGGTCGATGGATTGTTACTATTAGAGTCACGTTTGTTCTCAAAGTTCACTACAGAGTGGAGACACCTTTTAATCTAACGTGCTTCTTGTGTTCACGGTCGATTCAGCATTCTTTTTATGATTGCTCGGGAAAAAAACAAAGATAGGCTTCAAAGTTCAGGTTGCTCAAGGTGTGCTGCAGCCTCGCCTCATGTTGTCAGAGTGCACGTGCGTGTGATTGTGTGTGTGCGTGCAGATGTGACTCCAGCAGGAAAGTATGTGTGAGGTTTTACTGATCTCTCCGCTCAGCAGAGACATGCCTGAGTAGCTCTCAGGCAGGAAGAGGGGGAGGACAGAGTTAGTCAGATTCTCATAGAAACAGTCGTGTAATAAAACCATGTGAGTCACATTAACGTTTCCCCTCCTCTTTAATCTCATGTGCTCTGAGTGGACTTTACATTCGGCATTTGAAGAGGATTACAGCCTTTCGGCATGATTGTCTTTCTGTGGTATATCCTGTGTTTCTACAGAAAAAAGATAAAAAAGAAAGATATCTTCTGATTTATAAATACGTTACCAAAGCTTGAGATAGTGATAAAATGATCTGATTGTTACTCAAGCTCCATGTGCTAATAAGTTTTTAAGTTTTAAAATGACTTTAATTAAAATATATGCATTTTAAGCTCAGTGTCCTTGTGTCTCTTCAGGTCTGCTCATGAAGCCATGCTAATAAACATCATCCTCTTGCGGTGAGCTGCCTGGTGGACAGTCGGAGGCGTCATGGCGGAGCTGCCTATTGCCCCAGGACAGGTCTACATCGAGGTGGAGTATGACTATGAGTACAAGTCCAAGGACCGCCTCATCAACATCCGGCAGGGGGAATGCTACATGCTGGTCAAGAAAACCAATGAGGACTGGTGGCAAGTGAGAAAAGAGGAGGGGACTAAAGCTTTTTATGTACCTGCTCAGTACGTCCGAGAGGTCCGCAAAGCTCTCATGCCACCTCTCAAACCCATCCCACATCCTCCTGCCGCCACCGGCAACGCACCTCCCCAAAGTGGGGGTGCGCTCTGGGTAAGGCCAACCAACCTGGAGCTGGGACTCCAGGATCATCCTGCTGAGAACCTTCACAGACACGAGTCCAACTATCGACGATCACCCTCGGCTCAAACTGCCTCTTCGGGGCACTTCAGTCCCCCCAGCCAGCGCAGGGACAGCTCCCAGCGTCACGCCCCCTCCAGCCCCACCACCCCCACAGAACACGACCGAGCTCTGCACGACATTCTGGTCCAAGGTGGAGGTGCCCAGCCGGGCCACAGAGGAAGCTCCAGCACTCTCCCACGTTCCAGAGCTCGATCCCCAGATATGGCCAGGGCGCCGCTGGACGTGGACAGCACCCAACACTTTGACTCTGCAGAGGAAGAGAGACGCACAAACGACTCTGAGTCTGGAGACGAACTGAGCAGCTCCTCCACTGAACATCTCCAGGTAAAAACAGGCCAACTCAAAAATCTGTGTCAGGGCTTCTTTTCACACACGTGAAACTTGAGGCTAATTTTGGTTCTGAGACCCAGTTTCACTCTCTGGCTCATTCCTGCATCGTTTCCACTTCTGCTACTTCAGTTTAAACAGCAGACTACTGCTGTTTTAAATAAAAACCAACAATAAACCTTATAAAGAAGCAGCATACATGCTTCTATCGCCCCACAGACATCAGGAGAGTCTGCACATGTCATGCAGTGGAGCCGTCAATATGCTAATCTCCAGTGGTGGCATGAAATCTACAAAATAATACTTTGTTCAACAAATGAAGGCACATTACCCACAATTCCTGGGGTTAAACCTGTAATGGACTCACAACATGTTTGGTCAATTATAAAAACATTAAATTCAGAGGAAAGTACATGTAAAATATTGTTTTGTCATAGTCAAAAAGACTCTTGATCTAAACAGACATCTAAATTTCCTCCAAGATCTTTTCAAATATTTATATATCAATGTAGTATAAGTAAGTATAAGTAATTATCTATCTCTAGTGATACTTACATTTTCGTTTTTAGACTTTTTTATTGCACCCAAGGCAAAGCTTGCAGGGGACAGCTGCCCTCCTGTTTGTCTTTGCTCTCACCAACACTAAATCACACAATGACGTAACTGTGATTCAGTATGATGTGTTTGTTGAAGGTCATCTAAAAGTAAACATATCCACTTTTAAATTTGGCACTGAAAAGCCATTCAGTCCACAATGGCGTTGCTTCCTTTGGCCGTTCTTTATTTCGTGTCAATGGCAGGAGAAAGGTCAGAGTTGTCGAGCTTGTTTTTGGTTATGTATACAAGGAGTCCAGCTTTGTCTGCAAGAACACTCTGTGTAATTTTCTTTTTATTCATACCATGAGTCATTTGATTCGCAAGTTCAATTATCATATACAGCACAAGACACAATCTCTGGTCACCAATCCCTCAGATTTCCCAGTTAATGACAGAAGCACTGTCATTAATTAAAGGACTGCAAGTAATAAGTAGAGCAGGAGGTTGTTCTACTACTCATGCTTCAAAATAACACTGTCAGAATCATTTATTCTGATTGGTTAGATGTGAACATGTCAGAAGCAAAACCTATATAAATAAAGTATATATATAAAAAAAATAGAAATAACAAATTAATTGCCCATTAAAACGCACTTATCATGAAAAAGCATTGAGAGTGAAACACAGTTATGTTATTCAGGTACCGAATCGATTCCTTTTGATATTTTGGGTTTCATGAGAAAAAATATAGAACTTCATGCATCTGTGATCGCACCATATTCTCTGCTCCTTCAAATTTTGTGGGTGCCGGGGGGGATATACCATCTCCTGCCTTAATTTCTCTCGACGCGAGTTGTGTTTCAATGAGTCATGTTGCAGCATTGAGGATGCCTGAGTGTGTTAACGCACTGTGGTGTCCTGCTATAGAGAGCAGAGAGCATGTATTTCCTCGTCTCCACGTCATCCACTGTATGACAGGAAGGACGTGTAAACACTCTGCTTTTCCTCAGTTGATTCATGGTTGTTTGGTCAGCTGGGTCCGTAGTCCTGCTGCGCTCACGTGATCTCGATGGTGATGTGAAACTGTCCTAGTTTCAGTGTGTTGATTGTTTGTCTTTCCTCGGCCCTGGCAGCATGCGGCCGCTGATAACACCACAGCTGAGCGCCAGGACTTCCTAAAACATGACGACTCTCTGCTTCTCCTCCATCTCTGTTCTCACTTTTTCTCCTCTCATGTGTCACTTTAACCTATTTCCGTTGTTTCAGTGTCATTGTTTAAGTAAACAGAGTGACCATCAAAGCAGGAGATTTAAAGAACGAGAAACCAAACCAGCAGCCTCATTGCTGAAAGTATAGAGCGGTGTGTTTATGTCTCCAGCTGCCAGGGCTTTGCTCCTTGTGCAAGCTCATGCAGCTCCTTCTGATAAGTTCACAATCATCAGGCCATGACAAGTGTGTCTGCAAAGCTGCTCAACTCCTTACCAGGCTCTTATCTCCTGCACTGGACCCGACACTAAGGCCCTACTTCGTCACTACTTGCGAGACTTGTCACTTTCAGTCGCCTGCACAGTTGGGATGTGGGATTCTTAAAGAATAGGCATATGAGAATGTCTACAGTCAAACTATGGGATGGACAATGCCGAGAGTTTATATAGTAAAGTTATGTATAGAATTAAAAAGCAAACAACTGGGAGAGTTAGTTGTGTCAACAATGGAATGCAACAAACGATAAAGGGAACGTATTGCTGACTAATGTAACACGTCTCTGAGCTTCATTACGTAAATGATATCCAGCTCCCCTCTTACGTCCTGTCCAAGATAACATCACAGATTGTTCAGATTGATACCATTCACGCAACCATTGGCCATTGATGTTGAAATTGTGTGGTTGTGGCTACATCAACCCTTCCTTGTCAGACATTTTGGGGGATTTTTGCATCGTGTCTTATTGTCTTCCTGGTCTTGAAGATATGTTACCAATATTGCAAAAATGGACATTTGTCTCTACGTCACTTGACTGAATTCTGATACAACCTCAGGGACTGGTTTTCAGGCATTTATTCATCTGTATTTCATATTAGAATTTAAAAAGAATACAAGACAAAATCTGTTCATTTCAGTGGAAACTTCCAGTGAGCATGAACGCCCTACACTGAACTTTAGACACATGACTTCTGACACCATTGAGTAACAGCTTGTAACAACAGTTCAGGCCAGTGAAGAAATGGAGAAAGATATCATAGCTCATTAGACTGTGCCGCACAGTCCAGTTTAATTTGACCCTCCTCTGTTGGAGCGTAACTCACTCAACAAACGAGGCGTTAAAGGCAGAAGTCGATTGTACAAATATATCTTCTGATTAAACTGCATGAACTTACTCCTGTTTGTGACTGAGCTAATGAGCTAGTTCAGAGAGCTTTTTTCCTCCTCTGTAATTCTTTTTAAAACCTGAGCGCAAAACTCCCTGGGAGCAGATTGTTCTGTGATCAAAGTTCTGCTGTTAATTCCAGCCCCCGTTGCTTCTTCAAAGTTAAGTGTTTTTTTTTTTTTTTTTTTTACAAGAGCTTTGGCTGTGAAGTAGCTTCGAGTGTGGAACTGAAGTCTTCGCTGCTAGTTCAGGTCAGGTCAAGTTTTAGCTGAAGTTGAGTTTGAGCTACATGCAACAGTCAGATTGTTAAAAGTCACACGACATAAAGGTAAACAAAGCTTTTTGATTCTGGTCTCAGCATTTAACGTAGACAGACGAATCCTGGCAGGTGAATTAAAAATTCCCGGTAAGTAGCCACGTCCTTGTGGACGTATGTTCAGTTCTAATTTGGAATCGAGTATCGGTTCCAAACCTGAATGACATCATCTTTGGAATTATTGCCTATTATCTATAACCCCTATATCAGCGTTGGCCCCAAAAATAATCTGTATTGATCAGGTGAGAGATGAGACGTGCTGCAACATGATTAAAAAGAAATGAAAGACAGTGAGGGCGGGAGGGAGGAAGGGAATGTTTGGAACAAGATGTCTCAACATTTGTACCGAGGGTCTTGTCCAGACCATCAGCCATCGATCCCTCGTGAGAAAATGTTGAAGTCCCCCTCTGAGATGTCTTAAAGCCCCTGGCCACAGTGGTTTTGACACTGAATCCACTGAAGCAGATGTTTCCCTCCAGCCACTGAATATAATGGTTGCCAAGGTCTCAGTGTCTTTTAATTTGTTGCTTCACTGCACGGCCTCCTCCACTCGGCTCTTCATCTTCTCTCCTCGTGCAGGATCATCACAGACTGTACTACATACTGTACACTCTTTTTAAAAAAAAATTCCTTTCAACCTTGTAGTTTTACACTTCTCAGCACAGATTCACTCAGCCCATCCTGTCAAACTCACAGTCTCTGTCCCCTCGTTAAATATTAATATTAATAAGAATTTATAGAGCAACGGTAGAAGCTCTTCGATAAATGTATGTCTTCAGAAGGGGCTTGAGTCAGCTGACCTAGTAATTTATTTAAGTCTATGATTGGATGTCCCCAGATGCATGTTAATACGAGGTCTGAACAGGGCGAGACACAAAAGAGTCAGCTCCCTCTCTGTACCCTCAACACGTTTGATTGTCACAGTCGGCAACGCCAACCCGAACCCCACAGCCTCACATCGTTCTTTATGACAGCTTTAATCAGCTAAAACCCTTTGAGGAATCTCAGCGGGATTCCTCCTTTCTCTGATTTCTTAGTGTGCCAGGAAGTGTGAACACAATGTTCAATTACTTCATGTGCGGTAAAGAGTGAGATGGTGTAATACAAGCACACACACACACACACACACACACACACACACACACACACACACACACACACACACACACACACACACACACACANACACACACACACACACACACACACCATGCATGCTAACGTACATCCGTACCACATAAAGTAAGTAACTTATTAATCCAGTCTTTCACTCTCCACTGCAGACTCTCAGCATTGTCTGTTCAGTTATTCAGACACAGTCATGCGAATGTGTTCATACACACAAAGTCTGAAGGATCTGTTAACAGGAGTTAGACCAAGTGCACCAGAGCCCGATTCATCAGCTGGCTGATTTAAATCAGCGGATATGAGCCTTTCACTGACATTTCAGTATCAGTGTTAATGTTTCCTGATACACACTGATAAGAAAACTTTTGTTTTATAGAAAAAGCAATGATGATAATAGTTGGACTGTATTTATGTATCACGCATGCTCCTACTGAAAAAAAGAACGCTTTGCTCTGGGCTACTCTGATGTTGACAGAAGGGGAGTGTTCGTCGCACTGAAATTAAATAAGCAATTAACACACTTTTCTAGACTTTTTATCCTTCCAACATTTGCTCAAAGAGTTTTTGTTACAGCCACAGTTCTTTTCATCTTATCTTACTGCGTCATGTTTCCTGCCAGATTGTTTGTGGTTTACAAACTTCTGCCACAAACCCAGTTCTCTCACATCTGGGTTAATATGAGTCTGGAGTATTTTTATTTAT